TAATAAAAATTTTAAACAGCAAGTCTGGAAACTTTGCTGACTTTCTAAAAGTTTTGATATTATTTGTTAACTAAAACTAAATTAGCTAGCAACAGATTTATTTTAAAACCTTCCAAAACATCACACTATATCTATTTTCAATTTTGCACAGATAGCTCAAAAGCTATAACTTCTATCATGATCTATAACTCCTTAACTTCTCATATACACAATACTAAATCTATTTCTACCTATGCTATTTCAATTGATCTTTTCTTCAAACATGATTTCAAATTTTGTATTATCTCAATATATACAATAGCTCTATTAAACTTAAAACCCAGAACACAATTATTCAATAGATACAAAAAGGCTATACCTTTAATATATTCCTTAAAATATTTGAAGACTTTAATGCCTTTACTAATAATATTTACTCTTCTTCTATTAAATACAACTTCTCCAATTTCTCACATATAACAATATATATAATCTTGCTTTACACACTGCCTCTTCTGCTTCTACTTGGCATAATTATAGATCCAGTAGTAAAATTGACTGTATTTGCACCTGCTATACTATTTTAACTTACCTTACTTCCTTTGACATTGCAATACAGATACAAACTCACAAGTAATTATAAAATTCTCATTTTATACTGGAATTTTTCTTATAGTCTGCATGGCTAACACAGATATAAAACATGTACTCATAGAAGAGTTTTCAACTACAAGGCTATGAACAATACAAAATAGAAAGAATTCTAAACCAAGTTAGCACTAATCTTAATTCTAATTACATACCTTCCTTATTTTACACTTCAGAATCTCTTGAAACTACTTTGCATAAAATTCATACTAGTATAATTATAGCTACTCTAAAACACATTTCCAACAAAAAATTTATATTCACAATTTTTAACACATATTCTTGTCTATGGCTACTCACATATACTCAAACTTTAAAAAAGTTGGCAACATTATTTGACAAACTAAACATGCTTTAAAACACAGTTACTTATTCCTTATTATTTTAATATCTCTATCTCTTTACTTAATCAATTATCTGAGTTACATATTCCTCCATTTCTGAATTCATACCAACTTCTTACTTCTTAGATTATAGTTATTATATTATAGCTTACAGATTTATAGTTTATATATAGCAATTATAGCAAAAAATATAGTATATACTGTAACAATATTAGTTTGTAAAATTAATTTTATTACTAACTATACTTTAGTCTATATAATTAATAAAATAATAATACTCATATACTGTATATATTATCAACCTACTACTTAACCAAAGTTACTAATGTTTTAACTCTATAATATATAAAATAAGAGTAATAGTATAAGCTTTTTATTATAATAGCATATTAAATAGTATAATAAAGTTCTTTAGTTTTAGATCTTATATATAATATTTTATTTTTCTTTTTTTGTTAGCTATTTACAGCATTTTAAAGCTTATATAATAAATAGTAAAAATATTTATTTCTAAATGATGATTTTTGATTATTTTTGCACAATAAATATAGACATTCTTTTAAAGCTAGAAATAACTTTTACAGTAATTTTTGTTAGTGGAATATTACATTTTTAAAGATACTTTAAACTGTATAAATAAACTATCCAGACAATTTATTCACATTAGCTAATTAGAAAATTGTCTAACTATAAAGCAAAATTGCCTTATAATCAAAGATTATCAAATAATAATAGATAGATCATTTTAAATAAAGTATTTTTTACTTCAAGAATCAATAAATATTGGGTATAGTAATTGGACCTGGGTGGGTTTTAGACTTTATTTATTTGTGCTAATAATACAAATCTCTAAAAAAGATATAGCCAATTAGAGAAACCAATTTTGAATATTTCAAATTAGCCTGATTAGAGATGGATTCAGTTAGCTAGATCAGCTATCAGTCTGTTATTATCAACTATCAACTAGTAGCTTGCTATAGCTAATAAATTACTTGATCAATTTCTTAAACAAATTTTCAATCAAATATATAAACAAGTGCCAAATAATTATATTTTTATATGTTATACAGTTATATATATTAGAGTACTCTAGCCATAGCAAGAAAAAAGTTTGGGTCACATGTTGCAAACTGCCAATCAAATATTGAAGATCCGATTTACATTTCTAAAAAATATAATTCTGGTCAAATTTGTAGATCATTTGGCCTATTGGAGATGAGTTTAAAACTCATTCACAATAGGCCAAACAATCTGCAAATTTGACCAGAATTAGTTTTTTTGAAAATGTAAATAAGTTAAAATCAGCCTATATGAGATTTTTAAAAATTTTCAAGATTATAATAAAGATTTCTCTGTAACTACTTGATTAAATTTAGTAGTTTTTTTATTTTAATTCTAAACTTTTGTAGAATTTAAATAAGAAATTTATTTTATAGCACTATAGCATTGTAGTGCTATAGCACTACAGTGCTATAGTACTATTAATAAAATTTATTAAATTTTTTATATTTATTTATATTTAGTATTTATATATAACAATATATATAATATATATACATAATATACATATATAGTATAAATATCTAATGTTTCAATCATGTGACACTGCACAAAAATTAAGCTACCCATTCTAACACAACTAGGTAGATGCAAAATCAGTAGGTGCCCACATTATTGCTATCAAAAATTCACTATACATGATTAAAAAACCATTTTTCGTAAACTTACAAAAGTTTTTCTTAAGCGATTTTGCTATATAATATCTAAACCCAGACTCTAAACTAGCTACTTACTCTAACTCTATCCTAACATAACCAATTTTTGTCATTAGTCACATATAACAATAAATAAGTAAATTATATTATCCATTCATTTATATAACCCTAATATGAATTCTAATTTATAATTTAGATTTTACATAAACAAACTTTAGAAATTTGCTAAGCGAATTCAATTATTACTAACTCTATCTATGTACCTTTTTAACCCTAATATGAACTCTAATTTTAACCTTAACTTTTTAACTCTAATACAAGTGTTCTTTGGAAAAGAACTTTATAATTAGTATGTGAAAATTTTATTTGTAAGATAATAACTGATATACTTAGGAATCTATAAAAACTTGAGATATATATATATACCCGATACCCAATACAGTTCTATCACAAATTCTAGAAAATAAATTTCTGAAAGAACATAATACTAACAAAATCAGCCAGTATTAGTTATAATGCTGGCTGATTTTGTCAGTATTATATCCTTTCAGGAATCTGTCTTTCAGATTTTGTAGTAGAACCAAATATCAAACTGTTTTTTAAATTAACAATATATACCAATATAAATATTTTGCAGAGAAAAGCGCTTTTAAAGCAATGTTTTGAGTAAATAGGCAATTTTGTATGTTTTAGATTGGTAGTAACTTTATATTAACTTTTCGCTATTTGTATCAATTAAGCAACTTAAATAATGCCAAAAAAAATTTGAAAAACAATTTAACTTTTTGCATTATGCATAATATTTAGTAGTATAGACTTGCCAATATCGCTTACAACAATAATTAATATTTGATATTTTACTAACAATTCTTATTTTTGAGAACAAGTCACCCAATTATGAACAAATTTTACAGTGCAATTTGCACTTTGTCTTTTTTGGTGGCTCACATATATATCGTATTCTGTCAGTTCCCTTGGGCCAACCTCTGGCTTTATGCTTATAAGGATTCATCAACTCTTTTAGATCCAACTTCTTTTTACTAATATTACTATCTGCTTCAATCTCACTATCTGAAGAAGCATCACTATTACTTTTAGAATATAGTACTTCCTGACAATCATCCATATATTTATCAAGAATAGCAATAAAGTTATAATTACGTCTTTTAATAGCTACTGCTAAAGCTGCTCTTGCCTTACCCCATGCTTCACTATACAACTTATGCTTATTTATAGTCTTGTGGTTTATATCCTGCATTTCATATATCAAGCCTTGAATTAAAGCATTAAGATAAGGAACTAATCTATTTCAACCCATTGTTACTGATTGTTCTATCTCAAACTTTTGTGCAACTAGGAATGGCTCTTGTACTAGGTTACTGCATGGTTCATTATACCACTGTGACCTAATAAGCTAAATATAGAACATTGCAGCTTGTGTACATAATATTACCTGAAAGTAATGACAACAAACAATCCCACAGTTGCAATGGTCGAAGCAGAAACATAAATGTTTCTATTATTTAGTAGTATTATAAAATGTTGCATTTTATTTGATATAACATACTGGACTCCTCACATTTCAACAATTTTGTTGAATCAACCAAAGCAAGCATTGACTTTGCAATAATATCAAGATTTCGATTTTCGCTAAATAAGGTAGGGTTATTGAGGTTTATTTGCAGAATACATACAAATATGTAATGTTAAGTAGTATTACAATACCTTATATCAATATTTAAATTTTTTTACTTATAGTAAGATATCTTTGTAACTCATTTTGAGTTACTATTAAAGTGTGGTATTGAAGTGATTGTTTTATTTGGTCTTCTTGAATTCTTAATACTTCTACAGTTAAGTACTTGCATAGCATATTGCAAACATTTGAAAGAATAGTATTAGCCATCGCAACTAGAGCTGCTTTAGAAGCTAATGCACGAAATAATGAGTATTCTGTTTTTTTATCTTCTTCAAGAATACATGCAGTTAATTTTTTTGCAAGTTCCAATAGGGTTGTATTAGAATTAAATATTAATCTTTTGACCTTTGAATTATAGCTTTCAACCTGAGAAGTGGAGGACATCTTCGCTGTAAATAATTTAAGTACAAACGAGTTTGCTCATGATTCTTTATTAACATAAAGCCATTGCAAGTAATTAACCACATTTTCATTATTATATTTTTCAAGTAGACATTTCCACTGATATTCAAAGATTGTGACAAAATTAATCTGTTGTACTTCAAAGAAATCTTATCATAATTGTCCTTAAGATGATTTTTTAGATTGAGAGGAATATTTTGTGCAATATGAAACATGCAATTAAAAGCATTTGTAGTTAGGAATTCATCATATATTGCAGCAATTAAAGCAGGGTCAGCATCAGTAAAAATAACTTGTGGAGTAGATCCTCATGTTGCTTCTTTAATTTGCTATAATATCCACTTATGTGCCTCTTTTGTTTTGTCATCTGTTAGTGTCTGTGCTACTAGTCGAGAAGATAGATAATTATCAACCACCAAAAAAGTAATAATGCTATCTCATAACAATTAGTTGTACTTGTATTATCATTTAAAACGATGTTGCCAAATTCCAGCCATCATTCAATTTGATCAGGAGACATATAGAATAATCGCTAAAGACATTTACTATTAGGGTCCCAATCTACCTAGACATACCATTGGGGATCTACTTCTTTTTTATTCAACAATTCTTGATACAATTTACTAGCATCATTTGTCTGATCCCATAATTTTAGGCAAAATTGTTGAATTACTTGTTGTAGTATTGCCATATAGACCTTTACAAAATATTTTCCTTCAAGGGCTTTACAAATTTGTTGGGGGCTACAATTCATCTTTATTACAAAGAACTTAACATCATCGATCATCTCTTTTGTAAATGCTATATTTTCCTAAAAGTTGTAGCGATCTTGGTTAAGATTATGATTTTTATATTCATTAGTTAATTTTGCAATGTATACAATTTTGTCAGGGTTTTCTTTCTCAGGGCATAACAAATTTATTGCAATGTACACCCAATCCACTTAGTTGTTGTTTTTTTTTTTAGAACTTTACTTTTTGTTGTTTCAAGTTGCCCAAAGTGTTTACAAACTATGGTATGTCTCCAGATATTACCATTCTTAAGCTTTTCAATATAATAACAACATGTCTTAAACCCCTGTCTTTTTTCATACTTTTTAATTTCACTCATAGCATGATTCCAGTCAAAAAACACCATACCCTCTTGCAACTCATAATGCTGATTGCTTTCAAAATTCTCCATACTGTATGCATTTTGATATAACACATTATTACTAATGTCATGTTCAGCATTATTACTATTATATAGTGTATCAAGTCTATCACTACATAATCCCACTCACGAAAAGTTGCAGCCGCCTGAAATTCTTCTTGGTAAGCCTCTGAATTTACTACAAAATTATTTTCATTTTGATTCCTAAAATCAAACTCAAATTGACTATTTTCATAGTGTATTGATCCTATTGTTGAGTTTGAAAACGGCGAGTCTGTCGTAGAAGACCAGAATTCTCACGCTACGTCAATTTCAAGGCTTGAATAGAGGCGTAAATACGATTTGGTGAGTATGTAT